CGAGAGCCACAATTTGAAGCAGAACCGCCTTCGATCCGTGAAGCTGTTACAAATGCTATGTTTCGGGATCATAGCTGGTGAGGGGGTCTTAGGCGAAACTCCCGGCCCGCCCTACCGACACGCCTAGGGGCGCAAGAAGAAGGAGTTGTGTATAAGGAAAAGGGATGGAGGAGGAGGAGGAGGAGGAGGAGGAGGAGGAGGAGGAGGAGGAGAGAAGACGGAGAAAGCGAAGACAATAATGACAATAATGCCTCGTAGGGGCTCTTTGTGGGCCTCCTCGGAGCCTGTTGGGGGCCCCTTCGGGACCTCTTGGGGGCCTCTAGGGGCCTCTTGGGGCTTCTTGGGGGCCTCTTGGGGCTTCCTGGGCCGTCTTGGGGCTCTTGGCTGCCGGACGCCTTCGGAGGCAGTTTTTGGGGCTCGTTTGGGCCGTTTTGGTGCCTTTGTGGAGCGCATTGGGGCCGTCTTGGGGTCCTCGTCGCGAGGAGGTGGGCGGGCAGGCAGATGGAGTGGGGGATGCGCTCGTACGTTTGGATTCCGTCGCTCAAAAGTAGCGTCCTCGCTGCCATTATGTGTTGGCGTCGGCGACCTCGTCGTATACATGATGCTGGAAATGGTCGGGGCCTTTGTATACGCAATTGTATAAGTACTAAAGAGGTTAGCGTTTCACGCGAATTTTAAATTCGCACGTCCTGTGGCCGAGCACCTGATCTTGTCGAGTGCAGAAGGGGAGGGGACGGAGAAGGAACGGGGAGGAGGCGGAGAGGGCGGAGAGGGAACGAAGAGGAAGGGAGGAGGGCCCTGGAGGGGAAAGAGGGAGAAAGGGGGAGGACGAAGCGGGGCAGGCGAAGAAGTCAGGGCGAGAGGTGGGGGAGCGGAGCTGCGCGGTCGCACCCCCCTGCTCTGGGAAGCGAGCGAGCGCTGAGGTTCCGTGGCGGCCAGCCGAGGAGGAATGGCAGGGGCACCGTTTCCGAGGGGCTCGGTTTGTTGGTTTCGGGGGTCCTGTCGGGGAGTGCCTGGCCGCGCGCGCGGTGGAGGCGCGCCGCGGTCGGCGAAGGAGAGAGAGGGGGGGGGGCGTCTCGGGGGCCACGGGGCGGGGCGGGCTGGTCTGCGAACCGCGAGGAGATGAAGAGGAGGATGGAGGTCACGACGCGCTCTCCTCCTCCTCCTCCTCCTCCTCCTCCTCCTGCTCCTCCTCCTCCTCCTCGCTCTTCTCCTCCTCCTCCTCCTCCTTCTCCTCCTCCTCCTCCTCCTCCTCCTGCTGCTCCTCCTCCTCCTCCTCCTCCTCCTCCTCCGCGCCATCGCGGCCGAAGGCGGTGGAGGAGGGGGGGGGAGAGGGAATTGAAGCGCAGGTGTTCAGCGAGGCCTTCTCAGCGCAATCGGGCTCTCGGGCTGTGCTCGACGACCAGTCGACTGCAACGCGCATGTCGTCGGCCACAAGCTGCAGATTTGCTGGTGCAGTTGGGGGGCGTGCGATCGCAAGGGTGACGTCGGTGGTTAGGGCAACCGCGCACGCCAAAGTCCGAGTCGTCTTTGAGAGGCCCCGGGCGACGACGGCGATGACGATGACGACGACGACGACGGCGACGACGGCGACGACGGTGACGACGGTGACGACGCCGACGACGCCGACGAGGACGACGGTGAAGACGCCGACGACGCCGACGACGACGACGACGACGACGACGGTGACGGTGACGGTGACGCGGGCGACGACGACGACGACGACGACGACGACGACGACGACGACGGCGACGACGACGACGACAACGACACGGCGGCGACGGCAACGACGACAGCAACAGCGACGGCGACGGCGTCTGCGACGACGACCGACGACGACGACACCGACGCCGACGACGACAACGACGCCGACGACGACGACGACGCAGCCGCCGCCGCAGCCGCAGCCGCTGCCGCCGCCGCCGCTGACGGCGACGACGACGCCGATGGCGACGGAGTACGAGCCAATGGTCTTCAGTTGCTACGGGCGCCTCGAAAAACAGTTCGGGTATGGTAGGGGGTAGAGTAGGGTCAAGTAGATCAGAGTAGAATAGAGTTGAGTAAAGTAGAGCAGAGAACAGTAGATGGTCTAGTACAAAAACGATTAAAGTCGGGCATGATAGAGTACAGTAGAGTAGAGTAGAGTAGAGTAGAGTAGACTGAGCAGGGTAGGATTAGGAGTAGAGTGTAGTCTAGTGTAGTGTAGAGTAACTTTGGAAGGGTAGTGTATGGTACAGTATAGTATGGTAGAGTAGAACAGAGTCGAGTAGGATGGATGGTAGAGTAGATTCGGGTATAATAAAGTAGAGTAGGTAA